GATCCATCCCTGTTCGAAAGTATTTCATATATTTACATCGATCCATGATTTACATTGGGAGCGATATATTATAACTGTTTTCCACAAAGGAAAATAATTATTAATAACATTTGTAGCTTTAAATATGTTTGAAGCGAAACCACGATTATTCATAATAAGTTTTTAGACATTCTCTGGTTTTTAAATATTTATTTTTACGAGCTTCGACTGCCAGGCTGCAGTCTTCAACGGGTGGATTCACCCGTTTGATCAATCGTGCCTAGTAGTTTGTCAATCGTGCCTATATAGAAATGGTTATTCGAGCAACAGATCAGATATTAAAGCAACACTATCGAACAGAGACAAGATATTATTTTCAAGAATTATAAATGATGATAAGAAAGCTTTACACAATCTTTTACCTAGTAAGTTAAATCGACCTTCAAGACGGAGAGGTCATGACTTTGAACTACCAATTGTTAAAACTGAGAGGTTCAAAAACGCGTTTATAAATAGATGTTTTTCAAATTTATATAAACTATATATCTATATTCTTATACTGTGCTTGTGTGATGTTAGTCTGAGTGTATATCCACACCGATTACTAGATTACATTGATATCGAAGGAACTAGATTCTGTTCCGAAATATCACTTACTCGAATCGACCTGACCGCGTAGCTCAGTTGGCAGAGCATTGGGCTAGCATTCCAAAGGTCGTAGGTTTGATTCCCACCGTGGCCAGGCATATTTTTCAAGCCTGCCCGGTGTGGATATACACTCAGAGTAACACCACACAAGCATCTTATTCACCTGAGTACATTACACCAACACAGCAAATATCATATATTCTTATATTTCAGAGTTTTAAAGTTCCAAAAAATTGATGTAACAATCTAATTGTAGTATTCTTAATATGTAAACTCAGACGTTTGCTTCGAGTATTGAAATAAAAACTTTTATTATTATTATTCAATTTCTATATTCATGATGTATTACAAGAAAAATTCCATTTATATCATTTACACCAAGCAAATAATAAATACAATAAATAAGCCTATATCACCCTGAAACCAATTCTGGCTACGAAGTCGCTTTGAACACAGCCCATGTGTTCTGTTTTTGCCTTTAAATCCGTTTTCCGCTTGGTGAGTATGTTTGCGCAAATTAAGAATTATGCTACGTTTACGGGATAGGTTCCCGTAGCGGCGCGAAAAAGCGCCTATCCGATACGGAATGTACAACTTTCAGAAGCTGAACGAAACAACATCTCTCTGTTGCAATAATTCCTCTGAAAAATAGCGTTCCTAAAAGGTACGGATAGGTGTTACTTCACGTCGCTACGATAAGCTATACGGTACAGTTTAAATGTAGCTTACAGGTTTTAAAATCTAGAGTTGGTATTTAAACGCAAACGAATCTAGAACATTTAAAACGTAGCAAGATATAGAATTTACATTACAAGAAATGAAAATGTAATGTACATGTTAGGTAATGATCAGAATTCTTCCAAGCCACCCCCCCCCCCCCCCACAATTTCGTTATGTTATCTTCAGAGTGAGAGACTCTTAGAATCTAATGCTTGGTCGACGCTTATCGTGTACACAAAAGAGGGATCTGAATTTTCAAAAGTTGTAAAACTCATTCATGAAGAGAACACAAAAGAAATCATGAGCGTGAATGAGTTTATATATCTGATACAAAATCATGCTGATTTACATAAACTTTAAGTTCAATTTTCTCACCAAATATCATTCATTTTTTTAAAATTGTTGAAGAATACGAATGTTCTCATCAAGATTTTTCCGCTCATGTAGTAAATAGTATACCAGGACTGTAGCGACCGGGGGTGTGGTGATGGGGGGGGGGGGGGCGGCAACACCCCCATGATAATTGCTCACGAGCTATTTCAGGCAGATTTTTTGATAAAGTCAGGTAATTCTCAGGGCATAAAAAAGTAAACTCTATGCTCTGAATAAGAATTAACAATCGACCAACTAAAGGCGTTGAGACGCGTCGTGGCAGGGGGGTACATGGCCAAATACCCTTTCGGACAATCTGGAGATTCCAAATTTCCAAGATGTTCACAATTTTCGTAGTCCCATTAAACTGTAAGTACTAATACTTATCTACAAAACAATGGAAACTCCAAAGAAATTCATATTTCTTTGGAGTTTCCATCGTTTTGTATTTTATTAGAATACTCAGTGGTTATCGAAAATAATACTTATCTCCAGTGTTAGGTCATACTAAAATGTTGAAATATTGGAGAGGAAAGACACTAAATATTCCATTTCTGACGGTCTAAAGACTTCAAATTTTCAAAATATTTTCCTCGACTCGCTGTGTGTAAACAGACACTTGAATCACATGCAAAATGTTTTGCTCTGGTGTAAACAAAGTCTTTTAAAACCGACACAAAAGGGTCTTTTAAAACCGACAACTGCATGTATTTTCAATTGAATCGCTTCAAACAATCGATTGAGCAATTTGTACGAAAATTGAATTAAAATTTTGAGTTTGAATTGACAGGAGAAAAGCATTTCACTTTCAATTCACTTCTATTCAAAGAATAAAAGATTAAATTTAAAAGGGGATTATGTCTAACTAAGCGGGTATTTACTCCCAAATAAAACTAATATATCTATAGTACATCAAGTATACCTCTAAAATACTACCGCTGACCACAAGTATCAGCAATTCACGCGTAGGATTAATATAACATTAACTACATTGATTAGTTAATATTAACTAATACTACCTAAGTTAAAATTATAACTACGTTTACATCAAGTATAGAGGCGAGACAGGTCTTGTACCAAGACGACTCAAATTCCATATAAGGAAGTGAAAATTTGACACAGCGTCGGGCGTGCCACGTGATCACGAGGCCTGGGACGAGCGATGAAAGTGTACGCATAACCAGTGCCCAGACTTCTTTTGCCAAACGCGCGTCTCCTCGGATTGGGCCGTAAACGGCATGCCCGAACTGAAAAAATACAATTGTGAAATCAATATTTTATTGTTGAAATACTCGATCTATCGATTCTATCTGCATTGCCACTTCATAAAGGATTTCTGAGAAAGCCTTGCTTGCCAAATGTATTTTAAAATCCGCCATATTGAACGATATATAACTTCACGCGCAAAAATGACAGTTTAGAACAAGTTACCGGCCTCTGCGAAGGCTATAATTTCGCTTTGTGAAAGATCGTGGCATTGCAACGGTGTTCCCTGAGGCGACTATAGCCCTTCGTCGCCCTGTTCCCAAACAAACAAACGAACAGTCGAAACGAACACGACAAAATAGAAACATCGATTATCATACCTGTCGAGATATTGTGTTAACCTCACATAGCATATAGCTGCCGAGTCATCGCTTAAGACGTGCACATAAGGTGTCAATAATGTTGTATTGATTGGCGTTGTTCTCTTCGAGTAAACTAAAATATAAACATGTGCAAACCGGTTACATACGAGCAGTACAGCGAAATTACATAATTTTTGTAACTAGTTACAGAGTTACACCTTTGCTCCCCATTCGTTCGACTCTGTCTTAAGAATTTTCAAAACTGTAATCGATTTAGTCTGGAAATTAAAAATCCTGCGCAACAGAATAGTCATTTACATGTTGCACTTATATAAGCATCAGTGCTGTCACTCAGGCCAATGAAAATCTCGCATTGGGCCATTCCATTTAATATAGCCCCCCCCCCCCCTATTGAGGGGTCCCTTCGTAATCCCATTAGGATATAAAAAATTTGGACCCCCTTGGATGCAATTTGTGGAAGTTAGCCCAAAGGATATCTTCGTAACCCTTTAGGATATCGCTTTTTTCCTCTTGGATATCACTAAAGAAATCCAGGCTTATTTGCAAGCCTGTCACCTACCATTTTCCATGTAAAACTTATGAAATTCCAATCCTTGAACCAGATTTCCTTTCGTCTCCTGCTCAAAGCACGTCATTGAGAAGTCGCATAATTTACTACAAAATATAATTGTTCAAATAAGTCATTGACCGCAAAACTAAAGCGAGTAGAGCAAAAATGAAGGCAATGGTGGCCATTTTGATGAAACCAACACAAATCTACTGTAATGTTGTTGACATAGGGCGCTTTCCGTTAACACGGCGAGACCGGTCAGAACGTCATATTGTTGAATGGAACACAATACATTTGGACTTCCGAAAATTTGGATTAAGTTTGACGGAGATCGATTTTCGCAAAATTTTCGAGAAATGATTCTGGTCTGACCCGTCTGGCCTTCAGTGGAAAGCGCCTAACAGTTTCTCGTTATCGCCATATCGGTGGAAAACGAGAAACATTGTCTCAATAGAAATTTATCAACAGTGGCCTCGCTTCGGCCAAGATGTCTGCCACACATAGATATCTTATACACACTAGATAGTGCATCTAATTATTCTGCAATTCAAAAATTGAAGCCGTGATTGCAGATTCAGGATATTCCCATGAAATGAGAAGACTCGTATGTTTTCTATTTCTTAAACAGGGAGCTTAAACATTAAGTTAAACCTATTCCAAATACATTTTCAAACTATTCAAATGATGAAAGTTATTGTTGTTTTTTAAGCGTTTATTAGCGAGTGGGAAACTCCAACATGGCCGCCATCTATTCAAATGGGGGTAACCGCTGGAATATTCTTGGCTTCGATTTTACTAAAAGAGATGCGCTATCTAGTGTATATAAGATATCTATGCTACCACAAGGCAATTGGATTACTTTATTATATACCTTGTATTAAAGTTTGCATGCACTAGCAAAACAAATAATAATCTCTTTTTACCTATAAGCTTCAAAATCGCCTGTAGTGATGCTTGTGAGCATTTTCTGCGTGAGTTTAATAATTTCTTGTTCTACATCTCGTTTCGACGCGTCGCCATCTTCCAAAACTGTCGCTTCCTCGTCGGAGCTCTGTGTAAAATACGCAGTAAATAACAGTTGAAGGGTCTTGTAGATTTAGGAATGCTGGACTTCTTTACGGGGTACTAGATACCCCTATTGC